TCTCGTGTGGTGGAATACCAAAGCATTGGCATATAGACATGAGTATTTGAAAAACAGGGAGAATTACTTGTACGCACGTGTCTGTGTGTAGGTGTACATGTACATTTTCCTATATACTTCTATCTGTGTACATGCCTATGCATATATTCACACTCTTGTGTGTATATGCATACATACACACATGAGATAGGAGTTTCTGTGGGTGTAGCCTGCAAACACCACTTTCAGTTCTGTTTTTCTCTTATAGTGGTGTCTCTAGGGTTAGTCTAAAGGCTGTTACAAAATGATTTTTCTGTTCACTCCCTTGGAGAGGAAAGAATGTCTCATGGGTTAATCAAGCCTGAACTCCAGGTAAGTGATGAGTGAATCATCTGAGAGCAAACACTGATCTCTCATGAAACAGATTAGGAGGCAGTGTGCCTAGAGGCAAGGAGAAAAATATATCTTGCTGGTCATTTCAAAGAGAGATTTGGGGAGAGAGGTAGGAGAAGCCTTGGCTTTCACACAATATGCTCTGGACCATAGACCCAGACCTCTGTGAGTTGGCACATTTAAAAGGACTGATAGTGTTACTACTTTTATGCCAATCAGATCAGGTGGGAATTCCCCTCTTTACATTGCCAAGGCAGAGAGGTGGAGTGAGAAAGAAACAGCAGCGTGAGAGGAAGCTGGGTAAACAGCAATCAGCAAGAGATGAAGCACAACAAAGGTTAACTGCCATGCAGGCACTGGAGCTGTGGCTGGCACTCCTGGGAATATTTTCTGCACAGAGGTGAGTTTACAGGCTGGTGGAGGCTGGGAAAAAAGCGGTAGCTGCAATGCCAGAGCAAGGAACAAGGAGGGAGGACTGGGAAGAAGCTGTGTAATCGCTGCACCAAGTCCTTCTCCACTGCATGGGGGGATTCAGGGTGTTTGGGGCTGCTGGGCAGAGGCCACCTCCTGCAGGAGTGTGGGGCAGGAAGGAATTTCTGGCTGCCAGCAGAGGTGGAGCAGGCAGGCACAATCACAGGCAGCTGGCAGGGCTGCATGGCAGGCAGGTGGCAAAAGCAAGGCTCGCCAGCAGAGCCAAGATATGTTGATGGGAGCAACATCCTTCAGGAAAGCAGGGAGAGGAAAACAGCAAATGAAAATAGACAGGTTAGGTCAGACCCTATGATTTCTGCTCAGTTTCCTCATGGGAGGGTGTCTTGTACGTGCTTTGTCCTGTTCGTATGTTGTCCAACTTTCTTCTTGATACCAGCTGCCTGGGAAAGGCCGAGTGTGCAGGTGGGCTGCGTCTGGTTTAGGCATTCAGCCAGGGAAGAGCTCAGTCAGCAGTGGTCTTGGGGCAGTGGGTTCAGCCATCTCCTCACCTACCTTTGCCCTGTTGCACATCCTCTGTGCTGGAAACAAGAAGGCTCATGCCTGTGTACGTGTGCTTGGTGTGTATATGCGTTAAGGCGATGCTGGTGGGGGGTAGCCTGAATGTGCGTGACCCACACACAACCAAGTGGAAAGTTGCAGCTTTGCCAAGCCTGCTTGTGGATCGATTCCTTCACCAACCAGTGACCCTCCTGCTGCAGACTCTGTAGCACTGCTCAAACTTAGCAGCCGTCAACTAGCTTGAAAATATTCCCCAAGCTAGAATCAACTTGTGCGCCATTGGTATACTTTATTTTAACAGTTACATTACCCTTTAGCATTTGTTAGCATTTACAGAACCTCGTTGTGTTGGCGCTTGTGGTTTTATTTAAGAATATGCACATATTTCTTCAAACACTTCTACTGGCCTGGACCAGGGAAGATAAACCTGCATATTTCTGATGGCTCAAACCTTTTATTCATAACCCAACAACAATTTGAATGTCTAGTTCATCACAGCACCTTATGGTCTAAGGGCATATGTAGAAATTTCCTTTTTATTAGCTGCATTTCAATTTCTTCCCAGAGCAACAGGGAAAATTGATTCCTTGGTAGGGCAATGATACCGTGGAGTGTGGCTGTATTTCTGAGTAGATGCAGAGAGGTCTGAAACAACCTTGTAAGTTGAGGTTTTAAGCTGAATTATTATACGAGAACAGGAAGGGGAAGAGAATGGCTGAAAATGAATGAGGTTGGGAATGGGATTTCCCTGAGTGTCTGCTTACATTACAGATGAGAAAAATACCCTGTAAAAGATGCTCAAGAAAGTGACAATAAAGAAAGGCATCCTGTACCACCAAATAGGGTTCAGTCCTTCAGTCCCTGTTTGTTTTCAAGCTGGCAAGGTGGAGAGCCATTAGGCTCAGCTGATATTTCCAGTATAAATATCTGTATCTGCCCAGTTCGCTTCTGTGCTGCCTGTTTTCCATCTGTAAAAAACCTGCCACGTTGCCTGCTTGTTTCTTTTTCTAACAGTAGGCATTTTGATAGCAACTTCAAAAATCTCACTTAAATTTGTTGCTTGTGAAACTCGTTCATAGCTTTGATCCTATGGCCAGCACTCTGTTATCGAGCCAGGCTTGTGTCACAGAGTCTCTCAAAATAGATGAGGCAGGTACTCAAAATGAGATTTACTCTAGTCAAAATTGTTTTGCACTCCAACAAACATTAGTAAACTACAGATTCAGATGTCTATTAAACGGAGCTAATACTACACGGCTGACTTAAGGTTATGTTTTAGGGATGATGTACCCAATCACTCAGCCCAGACAATAAGGCAAGGGCTCTCGGCCTTAAGGAATTCCCTTGGGAATCCAAGGGAAGAGTCTCTGACTGGGTCCACTTGCCTTCTGGCAGGGCTCCATTTATGCCCAAGTCAAATCTGATCTGTGGCCATATAGGGTCAGCTGTCTAGAAACTTCTCTTGACTGAGGTGTTTCATTGGCTGAGGGCCTTAGCTGTCAACTCAAAGGCTTTGCCTTTCCTATCCCTTGACTGAGGTGTGTACGTGGTCACAGTCACCTGGGCAGCTTGACCCCCATACCATGCCTGCAAGTTTTAACACTTTCAGAGGTTGAGAAGTTTTGATCTTTGTCGAGGTGGGTGCACCTGCCACAACTTGCAAGACCAAAAAAGCCCCATAAAAGAGCCTCAGCAGGACAGCAGGTGAGTGTGGCTACAGATAGTAATTCTGTGAGTGGGATTCACATACATAAATCTCTGGATATTTAAACTTTGGTGCTGCCATTTCTCTTGGAGTCATCCCTAAAAGTTATTTCTCTCCATTGACATCTCTCCACCTGCATGGTGGGTGACTATCTCAGCTGTGGGCATCTAAAGTCAGAGGAGAGGTGCTTGTCCTTTCAAGATCCAAAGCTCTACATCAGAGAGGGACCAAGATTAAAGAAAATAACACAAAAGGTCAAAATGTTTATTGTTCTTCAGGTAGAAAGAAATGGAATAATTGAAAAAAAATATCCACAACTTTTCCTCCTCTCTCCATATACCCAAACAATGTCAGCTAATTCTGCCACTTTTGAATAATTTTAAGCAATTCTAGCTAAAAATAATACAACTAGAAAGGTAGGAATTGTCTCCTTGAACTTGTCTACGTGGGTCAGCTATTGTAAAACAAATTAGATTATGAATTCAAAGTACACTAGGTCTTCCACAGAGTCTCAGTGGGATGACTGAAGGAGAATGTACACCTCAGTGAGCCAATCTAGCATGATTAACCTGATAAAGAGCCCCTGGTGATCTTTGGGAACCTGTTTATTGGCCTCTTTGGGGTTAGTTCACTCTTTTTACCCTCAGTAAGATACTCACTGAGGTAGCAGGGTTTGTGGCATGCTGGGGAAAGTTATACTTTAAAAGTGCTCTTTGATCCTTGTCAAGAAAACATTAGAAAAAGGTTATAATTCAATATGCAGTAAGGAGTTTTAAGGGAAACCCCCTCTCTCAGGCTTCAAGAATTATTTTTCTAAGTCCTCACATGGACAGAATAATTAGTCACCTTACTGGGAGCAAACTCTTTAACACAAAAAGACATGTCAAATCAGTACTATGAAAGGCACAACTGTGAGAGGAAAATGAAGTGACGTGGGATCCACAAGTGTGTGTTTTCTCTTGAATGGTTTCAGTCCAGAAGATGAGGAACAGGTTGGGGGGCTGGAAAAAGCTGATCTAGTCTAGCCAGCTAATCTGATCTGCAGGAAGTTCCAAAAGCCCCTGGCTCTTTCTCATGGCTGGGCCTGACCTCTCTGCCACAGAGACCCAAAGTAGAAAAAGCCACTGTCAGAGGAGAAGGATGTGGCAGTAAAAAGGAAGCGCTAAGAGTCGGTAGGTTACAACGGTCAGTTTTCCCAGCTTAAGTGTCAGACTGACGGCAACAGTGGCCTACACAGACACCCAGGCAAATATTTATTTCCCTGTTCCTAGTGCATTTACAATTAGAACAGACAAAGGCAGATAAAAATGAGGAAAGGGACTGAAACATATGCAGCCCTCTTCTTATTGTCAGTATTGAAATTAGAAATACGCTTGAAATGAGTGCTAAATGTGAATGTCACTGTCACCCGCAAGATGCTGACTCTTTTGGCTGTAAGCAGGATTTGAAATACATACAGGAGACTCCCTGTAGTAAAAAAATGAGTACACAAAGTAATATTCACAGATCCATAAGAAAAAGACCTAAGGAGGATCTGAGAAGGGATGTATGAGGACTATTTCCTAAACAGGTGAAGGATCAGATTGCTAATAGTGTTGTCATTATTCAGATATTTAGCTGATTGTGTAGAAGATTTGTGCAGCTGTTAATTGATTTGATAGTCCTTGTTCCAAGATCCACAGGGGAAAAGAAAAAAGTAAATTAACATATTAGTCTTTAAAAAAATGATACTGGATTATTTTAATACAATATGTCTTTTTTTTTGCTAATCTGCTTGATCTCTGAAGAGTGTTGAAACCTAATATATTTATAGTGCCTTTAACTGAAAGAATAGTAAAAGTTATATTTTAGATATGACAAAAATGTACCTTCTTCAGAACTAACTGTTTGTCTTATATTTGCTCTGACTGTGTTTCATATTTTAGGCAAAACCATGACTACACACACCTGGCAAGTGTGGGCCTTCTGCATAGTCTTAGCTGCAAACCTCTCTGAAGAGCAAGTGCTGAAGCAAGCTTGTCCTTTGTGTGATAATGCTCAGATTTGCAACTGCTCTGCCATGGGCTTGGACTTTATTCCCTTGGGGCTCACAGCCAAAATTACGGTGTTAAACCTGGCCCACAACAGGATAAAGCGCATCCGATCCCGGGATTTGCAGCAGGCTGTGAACCTGAGACACCTCCTGCTGCAGTCCAATGAAATCAGCTCAATAGACAAGGGCTCATTTCGCTCTCTCGGGAAACTGGAGCTCTTGGACTTATCAAATAACAGCTTGGCTTGCTTGTCCCCTGCGTGGTTTGGGCCCCTTCTTTCGCTCCAGCACCTCCACCTTCAAGGGAATTCTTACCGAGACCTGGGGAAAGGCTCCCTCTTTTCTAGCCTGAGGAACCTGAGCTCTCTCCACCTGGGCAATCCACAGTTCTCCACGATAAGGCAAGGGAACTTTGATGGCATTGAGCTTCTTGACAAGTTGTGGATCGATGGTGGCAATCTCAGTCAGTATGAGCCAGGAAGTTTGAAATCAATTAAGAAGATAAATCACATGATCGTAACCATAAGAAATATTACTGTGTTTTCAGCAATTGTCAGGGACATTCTGAACTCTGTGACTTGGTTAGAAGTGAGAGAAATAGCATTCAGGATACCTTCTGAAATGCAACTATTGAGAGTCATGTCGTCTTCTTCTGCAAATAAAATTTCTTTTAAACAGACCTTATCAACAGATGCTACTGTGCCTGAGGTTCTTCGCATTTTGGAAGACATGCCAAAATTGGTGGAGGTGGAAATGATAGACTCTAGACTCTTAGGAACTGGACGATGGAAAATGCAAATTCAAGCAAACCAATCCCAGACTCTTAGAGTTCTGAAAATAGAGAAATTATCTATAGAAGAATTTTATTTGTTTACAGATCTCCATGCTGTGGAAAGTCTACTATCTCCTCTCACCCGAGTCACAGTTGTAAACACCAAGGTCTTTTTGGTACCATGCAACATTTCACAACATCTTGTATCATTAGAATATCTTGACCTTAGTGCAAATTTGCTCGGAGATCAAAGTTTGGAGCATTCAGCTTGTCAGCATGGCTGGCCCTCACTACAAACTCTAAATTTAAGTCAGAATTCACTGAGTGACTTAGAAATGACGGGTAAAAGTTTGTCTCATCTAAGAAAACTAATTCTGTTAGATATCAGCCAAAATAATTTTGGTGCGATTCCAGATGTATGTGAATGGCCAAAAACCC